AGGATGCACTTCTGCCATTCATTTGCAAATGGCTTGCAAGGCTGTCTACCATCCTTGCTTATATTGGGCTAAGAAAAAACATCAAAACAAAGCAGAAAAAGTGGGGCATAAAACATTTTTTTTACCGGACTCAAATGGCTACATTGTGGATTTCCAACATATACACATGAAAGGACAAATCAGTCACTGGTAGGGGACTGTCCTTCGATGCTGTTGCGTTGCTGGTAAAGAAATACCTGAGATCTGGCACTCTTCAGGCATCTCTGTGAACTTAGCCTCGGAGCCTGTGGAACCTACAGAGAGGACAGAGTAGGAACCTGACAAGGAAATCGAGGAAATTAGATCACACTAAACAAAAATGTAGGCATAGGGAAGTTTTACTATTGCAGATTAAACTCAGTCAAAATGTCTTTGCACTCATATCAAAAACAAAAAGATTTACATAGTTCAAATATTGTTGCGTGTTGAGAAATATTTGTTCATGTTTCTACATTCAGAATTATTGGATCAATATATTCTGTGTGTTGTAATATAGTATAGTAATATTTGATGACTAAACATATTTATGGCGCTGTTTTAATATGTCTAAAAATTATTAGGATTTATTGACTTACATAACCTTTTGGCTTAGGTTGTAAACATTGTCGGGATATGAAGCATCTGAAAGTACTCCAAAAAATGACAATATTTTCACATTAAGCAAAAATACTAATGAAGGCTTTCAAAGGGTTAAAATAAAATGAATTACTTTCTACAGAAAAAGTGTCCCACTGTACCTGCCAAAGGTCGAAATTCATTTGAACCATTCAGACTCTGTGAGGTGAGACAGTTGCTGTGGCAACCAACTCTCGGAATCACTCGGCATTAGGACTAGGATTAGGTGTCCTCTTCAAGAGATATTTATTCTGATTGATTTCATAGCCCATGAAAGCCTAGCAGAGAGGTCAACGAAGATATCAGCTGCAGACGCATGCAGACATTCATTTCATTTGATGCACATCTCGCTGTTCACTCTGTACCGAAAGTGAGAATGCAGGGATGTGAATCTCAAGCTTTGAGTGGTCCGAAGACTAGAAAGGCTTTCCAGGTTCTTCAAAAAAATAAAAAATAAAATAAAAAAAAAAGTCTAACTCAAATATGGTGCAGGAAAGTCTTGTGACATGCATGATACAGTTTGCCCGCACCATCATCAGCATTGTGATGTGTTTACTGGCCCAGTTGCAGCAGAATCTGGCAGCGTCCCAACCCACCCGAAGGCACAATCTATCACCAGTGACCGTGGCAGGATCATTAATGACAAACGACGATGCCAGAGGCGGTGGTCAGGGGTCATCGCCATCACTGGTCATACATTTGAAGCCACAGTTACACAACCAGTGTAAAGTCTGTCCTGCATCCTGCACTGGGTGTATACATGTGGACATGGACTAATTTGATCTCTACAGTGGCTAAAAGCAGGAGCACGGTGTTCCCATACATGCAGGGCAGCAGCCTGTGCCAACTGATATGGAGCCTCTGACCCATTTGGTCTTGTTGCTTCTGTTCATCCGGACTGTTGAACATAAATATAACACTTTCATGTATTTGAAAAGTACCGGCACGTTAAAAGGTAAATTGCGCTTATTCCCACATTGTGTGCACATTAGACAAATATTGTCCCTATTCATTAACCCATGTGGCCTCGTGACCCATGTAGTGAGATCCGAGCAGAAACATCAGAGGATTTACTGGAATTGAAATCCATGTTTGCTAATCCAAAACGTGGCCCTTTACACAATGGCAGGACTTGTGTACAGTGCATACCATGGATGCCTGAAGGAGAGGTACCCTATCAGTCACTCCAGCTGTTTAGATGTGTGGCACAGAGGCCTCCCTGTCCCCCTGCACCGGCACAGTATGTGCAGCCTTTGAGATAGCCGACTGTGGGAAAGACCAGCGCCTCTTTGCTGCCCTGCTCCTCCTCTGTAGCTCCAGCCGCCTAATGAGTATTGGCGTTTGTGATCTCTTCAGAGCAGCATGAAAGACATCTCTCTGACAGCTCTGCTTAGTGTCACCCAGAAAGCTTGTTACCACACACCAACAACTTCAAGGTCATTTTTACAAATGGAGTGCAATTAAGGAGGCAAGATGCAGCAAATTACTCCCAAAGATTAGATCTTTTTTTATTTGTTTTTCACTTTGTTTTACGTAGTGCAGATGTAATGATTTGCTGCATTTCCACATCTTATGCATTTGTCTTTAGCGGTTATTTCCACCACATCAGCACCCTGGGCAGCCATGATAAAGTGCCAGGGGTGTCCCAAGATTCTGCGTTTGAAAGTGAAGCAAAATTTAATTTGAAGTTAAATTGAAAATAAAAGAAATAAGCAATAAATATTAAGATCACTCCTATTAAAGATCCTTGTTAAAATGTGCAGGTGGGGATTGCTCACATGATGGCTAAGATAGTTGGCTGGTTGTCAGAGTAATGTGACTGTGCAGGTGTACACAAAGGGTCCAACATTAACCTTTTTTGCCACTGGCCCAGTCAGGCAAGTAGGTCAAGAATTTACTGGCTCGAACAAAACATCAAAACATCAATTCAAACTTCTGAAAACTCTTTCTGCAGCATAATCATCTTCATTGTTGTTCCAGATGGTCAGTGTGTTCAAAACATTTTACCAGAAAACGTTTTACGGTTTACAGAAAATCAGTAAATCTTGCGCAGAAGTGGCTCTCTAACATGACTTTTCAGACAGACTTTTCTTTGAGATTTTTCACTCATCAATACTTAACCTGACTCATCTACTCCACAGCCCAGCTGTGGAGTAGATGAGTCAGGTTAACAGCACAAATCCAGAGTTTCTCCTGGGAGTCCTATCCACTGAGTAATGGTTCGGCTGCTCATTTGCGCCCACACATAGAGCTCAGTCTGGCAGCTGTCCAGGCACACATCAGACGCAAACAGAGTTGTACTGAAAGGTCTATCAGTGCATGTATTTGCCATGAAAAGCTGAATTGAGACAATAGAAGCTGCATGATCATGTTCTTCATAGTAAGACTGCTCACAGGACTGAGGAAAGGTTTTTAAGTTTGAACCAGTGTCGACTCTACAAAGCAAGAGTTTTAGCGTTACATGATATCTATTGTAAGATTTGATTTTGCATGGTCAGCAAGTAGGTAATCTAGACCACACTTTGCGGTGCCTTATGTTTATTTCTGCACAAAGCTGGCCAGCTAAGCTATAATCATTCTTAGAGAAAGGGATATCTTGATACTATTATTCCTGTTCATTGTTCCATTATGTCCTCCTTGGCATTCGACCTTACAGTGCATTTTTAATAAAAAAAAGTATCCCGAGCAGCACTTCATACAGGATTACCTCACAGCCAGTCATGTGCTTCAGTTTTGTATAGTTAAAAAGCATACATCCACAAACGATGCCCTTATTTATCCTTATTTTTAAACATCTTTCATGCACATTCCTCTCAATTATGCATTGGCAGATGTCTTGACTGCCTCAGGAGAAGAGGTAAAGCTTACATTGTTCTAGCATTTTAGGCCAAGTAACCTCCACTTACAAACTCACTAACAGCGGATGGTTCAGCCATGTCCTGTTTCGATTCCAAGCTTGGAGTGTAAGCTGTTAGCGATTGACTTTCCAACGATACACTTTTTTTAGTCTCATGCTTTTTCATCAGTTGTAGTGGCTGAACATCACAGATTTAAAGCTTCTCCTGCAGAGTAAACTGGGCAAGCTGTGGCACTTCTAATGGGGTATTTAATCTTTAAAGTTTTTGCAGGGAAGTCAGTGCCTGCCGTGTTTGTTTGTATTTGTTAGTATTGTTTGGCTTTATGGCCAGATGTTTCTGGTTGTCCATGGCGCTTCCCATCAGTCCCATGGTGTTTGACAGCCACAGCAGACCATGAGTCAGTGTGACCTGCTGCTTAACACGAACACTAAACGCTGTCTCGAGGGAAATCTTGCTGTGTTCCTCTCTTTCCTCATTGAGTAATGACTCAAGACTGAGAAAAAGGCCAAAAACATATACTGTATCCATGGTGTTGTTCCAAGGCTGTCACATTACTGTTCATAAGTACAATATGTTTTAAATTTTCTGTTCATTTGTACTTCAGTGGTAAACATTTTACATCAAAATAAATAGGGGAGGATCTTGTAAATATTGTTTAATGTCATTGTATTTCTTTGGGTCTTTCTTTGGACTGTTGGATGTTCAAAAACAATTTCACAAGGACACATTTGCACAGGGTACTTGTGATGGGCATTTTCCACTGTTTTCTGATATTTTTTGTTTGTTGAAGTCCTAATAATGAGTACATTTACTTTTGATACGCAGTGTTTCACTGATAATATTTATGCAATTTTCTTAAAGGGGTACTCCTGCAAATGAATATTTCACTTTGAAACAGTTTGGAGAGAGATTAACGAATAAAGGATCAAAACTGAAGCAGCAGAGCCCGACATATCCTGACTTTTAGTCTCAAGTATAGGTCAAGCACCCAAACACTAGATCCTGCAGTTCTCGCAATACAACTCAAAAAAATCTTCCATTGAACTCTGCCTGCTTGGCAAATGTTAATATTTTTTAAACTCCACACCCCAAGTTTGTAACGCAAGCTTTTTGTTATAAATGTTAAGTATCTAAACCTGAGCTGAGATAACCCTGAATAGTACTTATTGTGAGAAGTAAACAAATCGATGTGTAAAATCAGCAGAGTACCCCTTTAAGTAAACTTTTTATTCTGGGGATTTTACTTACATTGTGGTGTTGATATTTTTACTTAAGCGTGGGATCTGAATACCACTTCCTGTTGTTTCCAAACCCACAGTTGATACCTATTGTTCCAATTTAACAGCTACACATGTAGGAAACCATCAGATAACATGCTGTAACTCAGAAAAAAGTGGCAGTCAAAGCGTTTGTGCGGTCATGGAGGACAAAAAATGCCTGGCTGGCTGTGCTGCCTGTTCATTAACATTTTGTGTGTTTCTGTGGTAGGTGGCTGCCAGAGCCGGAGTTTATGACATCCTCAACCAGCTGGGCTTCTCTGAGTTTGAAAACCCGAGGGACACGCCACTGGCCAGGCTGCGCTGCCGCTGGCAACAGCAAAACATTCAGTCACTTCCTTTCCGGGGGGAGTTCATCTAAGAGATGATCACTGTGAACGCACCAAGACAGTACTGTGCTTTTCAGAATAAAAGACATTGACATTGTTATGCCTTCTATATTCACCCTTGTATTATCCATATCTTCACATCATCTATTGTTTGTGCTTTTTTTCAAACTCACTTGCGATGTTAACATTTTGTAGGTGTTTCGATGTTGATTCTTAGCAGAATGTTGCTCCTATATTAGAAGTTGATATTTGTGCCTTTGCCTTGTTTAATCAATGGTAGAACATAGTGTTAATGTACTAATATTTTTTTTATTGTTTTTTTGTTTTTTTATTCTTTCTTTATGAGTTCTCGCTTTTGAAGATGAGATAGCTTTTTAAAACTTCTGTTGGAACAAGACAAGAGTTAAATGTTGTTATGGAGGAGAGAAGCAAATTCCACTGTGTTGTCAGACAGCAATTTGGGGTCTGTGTCACAAGTGCTTGCTGTTTGCTGTGTGACCTGATATTTTTCTTGAGCCCTGTCTTTTTCTTCTCAGCACAGCTGTCATCTGTGGCTGTGCTTTTGTTCAACTTGTGGATTTACATTTTTGAGAAGATTCCCTGTGTACATATGAAAGCTGCTGTTATTTAATTGCTGATGTTTCCTTGAGTTTTCTAACTCTCATCAGTGTTTTTTTTTTTTAGGGGAGTGTTGAGCAAGTTCCCGTTAAGTTTCTTTTGCTACAGTATAATGGCAGTAAAATGTCCATCTGTTGTACCCATTTCTTTTTTAGATTTAATTACATGCCATGGTACAGGTACTAACATTACAGCATGTCAGGATTTTGTATGTTAGTTTGATTTTACTCTAAAGCTGTAAATGTATGTATTTGTAAACATTGGAGCAATGATGCTTAAGAATTGTAAATGCATACATTTCCCTGAGATTCCTTTTAAGTCCCATGAAATGGTAACATCCCTTCTTTAATGTGATGTGAAGAACTAAAGATATCATCTTTTTATTATACATATACTTCTTCCTTTTCAAAACTTGGGAACTGCATTACCCACAATGCAACTCAGCCATATACAGTTTAGTCTGAGGTTTTTGTTTGTTATCCTAGTAGCAGCTAATGTAGCCTCAAGCTGCTAGCTTCCAGCAGAGATGAGGAGCAGTTACAGAGATCTGGTAAGCTCACTTCTTTCTAACTCCACACTTCCCCCAGATTTTCTCTACTCTTTCAAACTTGTAGTCTTCACCCCCATCCTAGGCTAACTCAAGCGACATCACTTTATCAGACTTCACCTAGCACACTGTGGAGCCACAAAATGCTTTAAACACCTTTTTCTTCACATGTGCAGCAGTACTCTCCCAACACCTGTAAACAGACTTTGATGTGTAAAAAAGTTCCCCTTTAATCAGCTCAGCTCTCACAGACTTTACGGCCCCTGCCAGTAAACAGTTACCATTTCTGTCACCAGTCCATCAGCAGGAATTAAATTATACATGTGACTATAACATTTATGGTTGGAAACAGCCAGGCTTGCAAATACTTGGTGTAACTTGGGTTAAAAAGAACACTTGGTATCAATTGATGAAGGATAAATATACCCTTTAACAACTGCAGCTCATGTTGGTGGCATCAGTGGAAGGAGACAAAAGCTGCATATTTTGCTGTTCTGGACAATAACTGTGTTGTCGGCAAATCAGGGCAACAATTAGATCATTGATTTGTTAAACACATGCCAATTATTGTTTAGTGTGCCTACGTTAACTTTTACTGTACAATATTTCTTCAAGAGTAACACTTTTTGTTTAATTTTATTATTCTTTCATTTGCTAATATGTCTTTTAGTTTTAAAGTAACTTGTAGCTCAGTGTGCTTTAAAAACAATGAATCCTGCCTTTAAACCAGAAAGATATATTTCTACCAGATGCCTGTCGTTAATGTTTTTTTCTTTTGTCAATGTATCAGAACATTTGCACTGTATATAATAGATTCAGACTAACTGAGCAAAAAGATTGTGATGATTGATAATGAAATTGAAATAGCTTCTTTTTTTTTTTTTTTTTTTTACTTTTGAGGAGAATCGATTACAAACACATCTTCATGTGACTTCTTAACACAAGAACATACATACACACACATGTGCAGGTTGTAATAACACCCTAGCATCTTAGTAAGGCTATGCTCTTAATTTTATGTTTTTTTTTAAATGTTTTTTTAAACAGGCAGTCATCATAGAGCCAATGGTTAACCCTTTATTCACTGTATGTGCCATTTATTATATTTTTTGGGGCTAAAATAAATAGATTTAACAGTGTCTGTCTGTTTTTGGTATCATTTCTGATCCATCAAGGATTTGGATTTAAGTGTGGGAGGATTTTCAATAAAACAATGCTGTGTGACAGAGCCAAATAATTGTCTCTTCCTTCTGTCGGCTTCCTGTCTTTTTCTTTCTTATCTCGGCATAATCTTTTGCTCTAGATACGCACCGCTAAGAACCCACTCGTATATCCGGACGGCCTCTTTGTCTTGTGTCAGTTCCAACCTCGGAGAGCAGAGCAGGTTATGAGCGTGGAGCAGCATACATTTACACAAAACAGATGATTCATTGTTGGGCTGAAATCTTAACTTATTCCATATAGAGTAATAAAGAGCTTAGGCAGATCAAAAGACTAATCTGAGTTGCCTTTTGATGTGGACAGGTAAAGTCTTAATTAAAAATAAATATGGTCACTCTCAAGAATGGACAGCTGTGTGGGGATTAAAAGCCGGTACATCAGTGAAGCTCACTTGGCTTTGCTGGCCTGCTTTGAAAGGCTGAAATCCCAGATCACTTCCCGTCTTGTAAGTGCATAGCAGGCTTATCTTTGGGAGCACGGAAGTTGTTGAAGGATTTTATCACACCACAGCCTATCCTGGATTATTGAAAATGGAAACCAAGTTGTCCAGATCGAAACACTCCTTTTATAGTTTGTTGCACTTGTTTACTCAGTTTATGGTCTACATTATACCTCTTTGTTAGGGGCCTGGCAGTGTCTGGGAGATGTATTAGATAAGTGCGCACTAACACAAACGCACCTTTTAATAGACTACAGTGTCTGTTTTGTAAATTTCTCTTAACTCAACCAACAGAGACAAATTGGTTAAAACAACATTCGGATATGGAGAGGGGCTATTCAGTTGCAGCATGTGGCCAACTTGACTCCGGGTCAAGATAAGCCTAGGACATGAAGACCATGCTTGGATGATATAGCGGCCCCTTGCCTTTGAAATCCTTTCCAGACTCATTGAGATACTCCCCAATGTGAAACTCAAGCTAGCGGTTCTGAGGGATCCCGAGATTACAGCAGACAAAGAGCGGCTTTGAGAGGTGAGCAGCGAGAGGGGATGTAATGAACTTCATGTGAAAAGCTTCCCTCTGCAGATGAGAGAGCTGTTCAGGAGAGGAGGCATGGTGCCGGTCCGAGGGGTGCATGGGTGCACCGCTGTCCTCTTTGATTGTTCTCGTGTGGATAAAGGCAGAATTACAAACACCTCAGCGATGAGACAGAGAAGTGTGTTCTCAGCCCTTTCAGGGATTTGATCAATAATAACACGACCATGAAAAATCTTTGAAGGGATTTTCCTTAATGTTTGTGGCAAATAAAGGTCCAGGCCTTCATTTACCATGGGCAATAATACAATCCCTGATAGGCAAGGTATTACACACCCCACTGAGCAAGGTAATGAAAAGTCTTAGCTGGCAGGATAAAAAATACTGATTGAATTGATAGAGAGCTCTTAAATGTTCTTTCCCCCCCCTTCATTCGATCTTTCAATTTTGTAATTTAGAGGGCGTGGTTCCAAGAATACTGTCACTGGCTTGTTATCTGGTTGTGTAAGCTGGACTGAATTTAAACTACTGTACATTAAAATATATGTATATATATGCGCACGCTGGCTGATGGTAACCATGATTTTAAAATCATGTCTGGGAATATTAGTTTTTTTACAAGGATGGATCATGCAAAAGTGAGTCAGAACAGAGCTGGATACTTAGAGACTCGACTTATTTGGGAACTGACTCCCAGAAGACTTGATTTGACTTGAGAATTGTCATAAGGTTTGCATCAAGTTAAATCCTGAACAAGACCGCGACAGGGAGACGTTGGATAGTTACAAACCTTTAAAATTTAACGGTTGAAACAACCTTGGGTCGGTGTCACAAAGATAAGTCTTTGACTATATATGGCTTAGATCAAATTAATAATCAGACTTCAGAGAGATGTCTAAATTCATCTGTTGCACAAAGCTGTGCAGTTCTTGACCATCTTAAGTAGGACTAATTTGCAGTGAATTCTGGGTAAATTAGCTAAAACTCAGCTCTGTTTACTCTAGCAGACAACATTTGATTTTGCTAGTACTCGGCTGGACCCCCTTTTGCCTTCAGAACTGCTCTAATTCTTCCTCAGAGACTTTGGTCCATATTGACATAAAAAGCACCACCAGCACATCCCAAAGGTGCTCTACTGGATTGAGATCTGGTGTCTCTGGAGGCCATTGGAGTACAATGAACTCTCTGTCATTTTTCAAGAAACCAGTTTGAGCTTTGTGACATGGTGCATTATCCTGCTGGAAGTAGTTATCAGAAGATGGGTACAGTGTGGTCATAAAGGGATAGACATGGTCAGCAATAATGCTCAGGTAGGCTGTCGCGTTTAAACAATCCTCAGTTGGTACTAAGGGTACCCAAAGTGTGCCAAGAAAATAACCCCCACACCGTTACACATTAAGGTTCGATGTGTTGTGCATTCAGAGATGGTGTTCTGCATACCTTGGTTGTAACGAGTGGTTATTTGAGTTACTGTTGTCTTTTTGTCATCTCAAACCTTCCGTCTTCCCATTCTCATCAGACCTCTGACATCAACAAGGCATTTTCGTCCACACAACTGCCGCTCACTGGATATTTTCTCTTTTTCGGACCATTCTCTATAAACCCTAGAGATGGTTGTGCATGGAAATCCCAGTAGATCAACAGTTTCTGAAATACTCAGACCAGCCCATCCGGCACCAACAATTATGCCACGTTCAAAGTCACTTAAATCCCCTTTCTTCCCCATTCTGATGCTCGATTCGTAACTTTGCAAGTTATCTTGACCACGTCTACATGCCTAAATGTATTGAGGCACTCTGGTCTCTGCAGGCACTCTGGCTTTAGCTGTCACATTTTGCAGCGATGTCTTCAAACTAATCTAAATTTAGTAACATAATAAAAACAAACTAATCGATCACCTCTGTGAGGTAAAATTAAAGTTTTTCTCAAAGGAGCCTGGTCGCTTTGAAAAGAGCACACTTAACATAACAGCCTCACTTCCCTCTTGGACAGGGCTGCAGGTACACTGTTCTTTATAAACACATTATATAGGTAGCTAAACAGCATGATAACATTAAAGCAAGTAACACTAGTAATACAAGCAGAATATTCAATCTATCACATTAAAATGATCATCAAAGTCAATCATTGTTCTTGTAAAATAATGGTATCTGGTCACAATGCCGGCAGCACAAAGAGACAAGAAGAGGGAGAGGCATGCTATATGTCAACAGTAAATAAAACTACTAGTTATAAAAGCAAATTATCATCAAGCTCAGTCATTCTTCTTCTGGTGGCACCCTCCCCAAAAATGTAACTACTTGCAGATAGCAAGAACAGTGATTCGCCTTGTCCTTCTTCTGCCTCAACTGGTTCAAGGGCCGTACATACCATCTCCTCCGACTCCTTCCCTTGTTTCTGCATTGCAAGTATAAATTGGCCTGTAGCTTAGCTTAGCATAAAGAGTGGAAGCAGAAGGAAACAGCAAGCCTGACGTTTAAAAAAAAATCCCACCTGCCATCATCCTTCAAGTTCACACGTTGTAATTTTATGTGGCTTATGTGTCGAACTATTTTCTGACCAGGCAGTGATTTCCTGGAGTCTCTGCTGGTACAACTGCATGGGAGACAGCTGCATCTTTTCTGTTTTAAACTGACAGTTTGTTTTAAAGCATGACCACAGCAGTTCCCTAAACTTAACCAAGTGTTTATTATTGTACCCATGGTAACGAAAGTCCCCTAATCTTACAAAAGTACTTTAACCCAAGCCACGATCTTTCCCTAAACCTAAACAAGTTACTTTTGTGTGTAAACCTACCCAAAACTTAACCATAGAACTGTCATATTTGACATTTTCTTTTTTATCAACAGTGATTTGTATCAGTTTTGAAAGGGACAGATATGTGATCTCGTCTTGTCGATACAGGCGTTGGATCACAAAACCCAACTGTGTTGTTCCAACGTATTTTGTCATTTAATATAGGGGACTTGTTGGACAAGACGTATAACTCTTTCCAAGAATGCGAATTTAAGTGTATTTCCAAAAATGTCAAACTCATCTATTCCTTTAACTTTCCACCACATTGAATTGAAAACTGTTGAGTAGTTTTTGAGATATGAAGAAAGAAATAAGACATAAAACATACACCTCTTTGGTGGAAGTAGTTATGGTAAAACGTTTGACACAAATATAGTGAGACATATAGGAGTACAGTTGCAGCTGCTCGGACAGAAAAGACTCCCACATTTATTTCAGACTAATCCATATTTTCTTAAGGAAGGTCAAGTGAAACTCATCGAGTCTGACCTGGGTCATTACTCAGCGCTAATTCTGAACCTTTCAGTCTGAAATCCCTCCTTCCACACGGGTTCAGAGGACCATAATAACAACTTCTTCAAGTTGCTGGTTTGTAACTTGACAAACGTAGACGCTCCTCTTCCCTCAAGCTGCCGGACAGACCAGCAGCTGCTTTGCATCTCCCTGCATCTCGGAGATGAAAAGTCACATATTTTCTCAGCACGCTGGCATGGCTAGACCACATTACAGCACACACTGAGGCATCCACAGCTCCACACACTGTACTGTAACTTCTCCTCATTGCTAACAGTAGAAGAAGCTTGATTCTTTGCAGCTCCACCCTCAAAGACTCGACTAACTACTGTTCAGCAGATTACGAAGTGTCTGTGTGATTCAGATTTTAAATACATTTAAGCCATCTACGCAGAAACGTAGAGTTTGACTTTAAGTATGAGTGAAGTATGAGAAGGAAAGGAACGACAACTTTTGCATTTTCAAGTGTATACAGTTCAATAAATCCCATTTCTGAAGAGCACTGGCTGTCTCACATGAATATCTGCAGACTTATTGTTATAATACTCAAGAGTTTGGTTCAGTTTGCGACAAGAGTGCATTAAAGTTTTGCTCTTATACTCCTGTTGCAAAGGACAGAATGTTCTAATGCAAGCACTGTAGTAGAAAATTGTTCTGGTGTGTGGACTTAACCACAGACTGTGAGTGGAGCTATTCATTTCAGAAGGGGAAAAACAAGGCTTCTAATTGAATACTATGCTATATTGTGGAATGTCATCCTGGCGTTTAGACACAAATGAAGAAAAAAACACTCCAAACAGTATGGATGGAAAAAGAGCCTTCTTTCAAGGCAGTTAATGGTTTCCATCTCTTAATGCTGTGGTTAGTTTCCATCTCTTATTAATGCACACTGGGGGGTGGGGAGTGGATGACTGTGTAAAACCCACACCTGCTCTACATTGACCCATCCAGGGAGCACAGAGGTAATTAGCCACAGAGTGAGGGTATAGGCACTGCATGGGGGAGGTCGCCCAGACACAGTGAAGGAGCTGTTGAGGGAAAAGAATGTCCAGTCTAGACACCTTTTTCCTCAAAAAGAACCTGAAAGTCAAAACTCATTTAAAACCCAACCCCCTTCTCTTCCTCTGAGAAGGATTCCAGAGTTGTTGGTTCAGTCTCTGCGTGGTCATGTCTGGCTAAGTCTGGACTCCAGCAGGGTGAGCCTGGGCCAAACAAATCCTGGTTGCTTGAGCAGTGATCCAAGGTTTTAACAGCGTGTCATTCCACTGATGAAACCTACTGTAGTTTTCACACCGTCTGAGCCTCTATTGATGGTGTTGGATTTGTTCCCTTTCTCCGGATGGAATATATGCTCACAGTGGCATCTGCAGGATTAGCCCAAATTATGAAAACATGTGATACCAGCTGCATGAGGTCATTAACTAAGACAATGCAAGATGTGCTTTGTTGATACTAGAATTCAATAGACATGGAAAACCGGTATTAAATCAGATTTTCTTGCTTTTTTTTGGCACATTAGCACTTTACCTCACCTTGAAATGCACTTTATTTGGCTATACGTAGGTTTCAATTTTTTCAAGTCTATTAAAAGAATATGTATGTTGACACAGGTTTTGGTCGCTTTAAGTGTTCCTTCTGTCTATACTGGACCTGAAGAGACAATTTCAATCTCAATTTTGTTGCCACAGACAGAGTTTGTGAAGCTATTCAAAAACTTCTCCTTCAGTCTTCAGCCAGGAGTGTGTCTCTGGTTTTGGTTTGATCATCTGTTTCTATATTCCAAACATATTTTTCTGTTCTTAATATTAGCAAATATATTTTTTAATATTCGCAAATATATTTTTACTTTGTGTTTTTGACTGTGGATTGTTGTTATCTGTTGTAGTGTATGCATTTAAAAATTCCAGAAGTTGACTTCTCTCCAAACAAGTCCCACTTTTCTTCAGACATCTACATTGAATTTATTTTTATTTTTTTACCTCTGCCATCCCTGATTTATTGCAATATTATCAGTGACATGTGTTAGGAAAACATATAATTGCACCTGGAGCTGTTGTAAGAAAGAAAAATAGATTTCAGGACTCAATACTAGCTGCTTAGGTGGATATTTTTGCGGTATATGATGATATAACGTCTCCTGTTTCTTTTTCGAGATGAAAAAAATTCGCTTGGCTAAATATGTGGTTGTCTAGCGGAGAGAAGGCGCTCCCACTATTGGCTGGTAGTGGCTTCAAGTTGAGCAGTTGAGAGTCCCGCTGCCGAACCATTGGTGCGTAATGGTGCACGACTGTACGGCAGATGTTTCACCACCGGGACACTCTGTCTCTGCACACTTTATCTGAACTCTTCCGACTTTTTTTCTCAACGTAGGCGTGCGTTAACTTGCTCTCCTTCCTTTTAAAAAAAAGTTATCTGGGGAAGGAAAGGACGAAGAAGAAGAAAAAAAAATTGGCTATCTCTTCAAACCGTCCCGGGAGTTGTCGTCATCAGCACCCCAGATACCCCCCACCCCCCCTCCCCCCCCTCCCTTAGCTCCCTAAATGGATGGGGGCAGTCTTGGCAGTTCAGCACAGGCCAAAAGATTGGAAACAACTTGCGAATATCCGTCAGTTTGGCGTCTAGAGGGAAACGCTCAGAAATGACCGGCTGCCTCGCTGGAGCTCAACTCTGAGGACTTTTCTCCTGCATTTGTGCTTTTTTTTTTTTATCAGGAGGAAGGACTCTGTTCAAAGTTTACAACAGAAAGGAAAACTCAGCGTGGCAGCTCTCACACTATAGCCCTCGCTATGGATTGTATGTATTTATTCATGTGCTTTTCACTCAGTCAAGTATTTTTGGATCATATTTTCGCTGCAGAAACACATGGTGAGTTATGCATTTATTGCCTCTTTTTTGGCTCTGCTTTTGTACTGTGTAGAGAAATGTACAAAATCTAAATGTGAGGGAGTAATGACAAACACTTATGGCCTGTTTTTATTGATAGGTGAACTTAATAAGTCTGACAACTTTACTGTTTTGCATGAAGTCAATACAGTGTGTTGAGTAGCTAGATTTTCCTTTATGTCCACATGATTTTACTATTACCTGTTTCATGAAGAGATCATTCATTCTGAGCTACCTTTATATGCACTATAAAATAATATGTATGAAATAAAGTTTAACTATGTCCTCTATGATACAGCATACATACATACATACTTTTTAATCATTCAGCTTACTTAGTTTTAAAGTATTTTCCATAAGGAACCTGCTATAGGTCTGTGAATGTGATTCTCACTTGACACTATCTGTCCCATCAGAAAAACTCTCTGGAAAGTTAAGTGAATATGGTCTTATCGTGCCATTCAGCACAGACTCCCATGGCCGGTACATTTCTCACGTGGTCTCTGCTGGAAGTGGAAGTAAAGGTGGTTGTGCAGCTGCTGCTCCTGATGGTGCCTCCTCAAACTTTGGCAGCAGAAGAAGGGCGGCCCGCAGTGCCCCCGAGATGCCCTCGGTCACCTCCGCCCCGGCTCAGCACTTGTTTTTCAATGTCACTGTGTTTGGGAAAGAACTACACCTCCGTCTGAGGGCCAACAGGAGGCTAGTGGCCCCGGGGGCTTTTGTGGAATGGCAGGAGGACTTTGTGGAAAAGGCCAAGGAACATATCCACAGGGACTGTGTTTTTACTGGAGATGTGAGTGACATGCCAGAAGCCTCTGTGGCTATCAGCAATTGTGATGGACTGGTAAGTCAACAATGCACACTTGAAAAAGTCAGATGGAGAGAGATGTAGCTGCCATGAAAAGATGCTTTCCCTTCTTTGGCACAGTGTCAGAGAGGAATGTGGAGTGTAATGGGTTTGCATGTACCCGAAAGTCCTTCACAATGGCCACTTAACATATTTTCTGACCTAAACATTCATGTGCATCACGTCCTTAGTCTTTCTAAGACAATAAGACATAGATTAAAGCAATATTCCGTCTTGTATTTGGTCCTTTGCTAAGAGGCAGCTGTCATATTACCATGGATTCTTAATGTAGCCAGTTTTCACTGTATTACAAAAGTATCATAGCTTCAATAGAGACTTCTCAAACCACTCCTGCAGCATAACTTTTATGCTGTCCATCTGAATGCTCAGTATCTTCCAAACACTTATATTCTTGGCAAAATAGTCCTCTGTACACGTGCAGGCGCATTATGGCAGTCTTTCCGGATACTGCTATTCGATTGGCCAGGATTTCCCGAGTTCATGAATGACTGGGGTGCAATTGAGTGGGTCTGGCCGATTAAAGAGCAGGGGACAAGCTCTCAAAATCTTCGTAAGTTCAACAATTTACATTGTGCATGAGAATAGAGACAGGAGCAGTAGGGTTGGGATATTAAATATGAATCCTTTAATATTTCTCTTTCTAACAAACAATCAACACAGTCTTAGGCTGTGCAGTAATGGATTTTTTGCCCACTTGGAGGCAGTGCACCAAGCTGTCAACACAACATTGACATCCCTTTAAAAGGTGAACACGCTTAGGAATATTAGCCATCCTTTGGAGTTGTGTTTCTGGCCATGTGGCAAAGGTGAGACCAATATACACAATATTTTTAGCTCTGTTTATTGTCTCTACCAACCCCTGAGGAAAATAGCAGCTGCAGCTACATCCGAAAATGGCGCTGATGAGAGCAGTGAGAGAGGGCTGTTAAACCTAAACAATAAGCTGAAAGATGCTAAAGCGCTTGGTAAAGCTGAGTTGAACTGCAGTCGGGTGATCATTTTCTGTGGGTTCATCACCATGAGAGACCAATTTGACAATATACGTAAAAATTTCATCAATTGTTAGTTTTAAAATATTGACTAATGAAGCTTTAAAGTATTGGCATTGATTAGCTGCACTTAATTTAGCCAAAATATGAGTGTTTGGAACATATGAGCATATGGATGGACATTAGAGACGTGAATTGTGCTCATAGACTGTATATAAGAAATGGACGTAGTCATCGTGACGTCACCCGTTGGTTTATAGCTAGCATGCTTAGCTAGGTGCATCTGTAATTCATGTTAACTGTCATTTTAACAGTACTGACAATTTTGTCTAGAGAACAACAGTCTTTAAACTAAATGTAATCACCAGAGAAAGTGAACAGCCAACTCCTAATAAGCTTTTTCAATGGCGCTGTTTAAATTTACACAGTGCCATGGGTACGAGTTGGCTCTAGCCTGATTGACAGGTCGCCATGGTAACGACTTGTCAATCATAGATAATCCTGCCCTGAAACGTACTCTGCCTTATCGTCTATTTTAAAATAAATGGGACCCTTATTTACTAAATGAGCATCATTTTGTATTGAAGAAGACTTGAAACTGGCAATTGAGAACATAAACTCATCAGGGAAGTGTTTACTGAGGTAATTATTCAGGTGAGAAGTAGGGTCATTTTGCCATTTTTTCTTATGGAGCCAGACTTCTTTTTGCAACCAGAGGAGTCGCCCCCTGCTGGCCGTTCAATAGGATGCAGGTTTCAGGGACTTCCGCGTTCGCATCAGATCGCTGACCGGAAGCTTAGCGCTTGATTATGCTGCAGGAGTGGTTTGAGAAGTTTCTGAAAATGTTTTGATACAGTAGAAACTGGTCACCATTGGAACCCAACTTGAATCCAAGTCTACATAATGTGAAGAAGCAAACTACATAGATTTTACAGCCATCACTCAAGCCTATACGAGTTGAGTTTTTGATTCTAAAGACACATTTTGGGTGGAATATTAGATTAAAATGGTGTTTTAAGCATCCATAGTAACTGCTTGGTTTCACTGATGGGATTTGAGGTCTATCTAGGTAAAATCAATTCAAAATAAAAGGTCACTATCCCAGCAAACCTGCTCTTCTTCTACAGCATTGTGTGCCTACTCCATTACCACCAATCTATTCATCATTCTGCTCTTGGGCAGTCTTTCAATGTCAGAGTGATGGGAGGTGAACTAAGCCACTAATGGATGTTTGCAGTTGAGCAAATTAGAGTGAATTTTCAAATGTGCATGTGACATTTGAATTGGCAGGTTGACCAAAGTGAGGCTACTGTTTAGCTTTTCTGAGTCAGCTCTCTGAATTGTTCTGAAATAACAGTTGGAATCGAAGTTGAAGACCCAGAATATTTTGATACCCTCCAAATGTGACACACCCACAGTCCTTTTCTAAATTATCACACATTCTGACACTTCATGTGAGAAAACCTTTGTTTGATTCAAGCCTGTGGTTGGCAGCAATTACACTTTTTTTGGCAAAACTTTTCACAAGCCCACAATTTTATCTCTATGCTTCTTGCAGTGTTTGCTTGCACAGTTGAGCCTTTTATTTTGCATCAGCAGGACTCAAAGATACAATGGACGTCTCTTACAACACTTGCATTGTTTGTCATCATCACTGCATTTTCTTGTTGTCGTTGTTTAACACAACAAAACTAGGTGAGATGATGTCACAGAGTTATTTCTTCTTTCTTAATGTAATAACAGTGAGTGGTGGACAATGCCATGCTGTGTTCTCTAATCACAAAGTAATTTCCTGAAAGGCGACTGTGTGTGCCCCTCAGTGACTCAAGGCTAAAATTGACACAATGGTCCTGTGCAGCGCAATGCCATATTCACCTACAAATAGCCTACAATATCAAAGTTTTGTATGCTTAACCTCTAAACCTAAGCACACAAAAGATGGCAATCATAGTGTTATATTGATTTTAAACAAAGCCAAATGTAGAAAGCAGTAATGGTTCAGAGGTTATGAGCTCAGCATGAGTAGCGAAGCCTTGGAGTTATAAGAAAAGCAGAATTCCAGCACCACTCTTGTGTTACTGCTGTTCTGATAGCGTTTGTGCTAGCTTATGTTCTGCTAACTTCTTTTCTGCCCGCTTTTGCTCTAATAACTTTCAGCGCACAATGTAAATTCTCATAGATTAAATTGATTTCATCGTTCTTTGTGAAAGGCTTAGATGTGATACGTTTTAGTCCAGTTTCTGTATTGGACAGTACAATTTTAGCCCCTTTGCTTTCACTCTTTTGATTAAAGGTGCATTTCTCTCATATCAGTGGTGGCGTAATTACCAGTTTCCAACCTGTAAATAGTGCTCATTTCCAAGTTGTAATTACAACTGGGAAATTCAGATTTTTCTGAAAGTTCTAAAATGAAATGAAATTGCCTGAAAAACCAAAACAATACTGGATGTTTACATCAGCCAAAGTTATTCAAGGTAATGAAACCTAAATGTTACCAATTCAGTGATATACTGTATTGTCAATGCACATTGTTTTTTACATTGCTTTTTGAATGTGAGTAAGCAATGTACAGTATATTTCAACTTCACTAGCTAGTACAATGTAGCATAGAATATGGACATAAACCCTAGAATCGTCATCCAGCTTTTTAGAAACACCAATGAAAGAGGAGGACAATTTGAGCCTAATGCAGTGTTCACATTATGTGGAATGAATGATAGGCCTTTGAGAAAGATTCTCATGTTTATGACTTGCCAACGTCCATGTCATCGGAGAACTCAAGATGGTTGTTTAATTGCAAAGTGGGCCGTATGAGGGTTAAAAATACCGGGCATTCACCTTCAGTAGTGGAGTTTGGCTGATGTGAGGCATGTGTGATTAGTTTTCGGGCACTGATGTATTACTTTACATCATGTTGGATAGAATTGGAGTTTCCTAGTTGTAAATACGACGGATGTGGGATGTTAGCGTGAATGCCCATTTACAAGTCGGAAACTGGTAATCATGGTAATTCCGATGAGTGCAGCATTACTTGTAGGCCTATGCTGTAGTATTTACAGCCAGCCACAGTGGAAAAAACTGTGGACAAAAATAATATAACCTAGTATTGTTAAATTATTCAGGAGAACCCCATGTTGTTACATTATGGAATATTAAGGTTTTTATTAAAAGAAGCCAAAAGCCTTTTCCTTCGCTGTTAATTTGGCTTATTGGAGATTCAGATCTAATGTGGCAAAAGCATCATGATATAGACAAGCATCTCAATATATTTGTACTGTCTGAAGGATATGTAATCTAACATTTCTGGGGATTTGCTTAATCTTATGGCACTACTCTTTTATGTAAGATACTTCCAACCAAAAAATAATATTTTTTGTGGACAGTTTTTGCTACTTTTTTCCTTTAGTAGAAAATGGTTTCTTGGTAAAATGTCTAACAGAGTTTCTGGGACATTGTGTCTGTAAAGACATGCCGTTGTTTTTCAAATGTCAAAATGCAAAGCTTTGAGTATCGCAATCATTCTCTCTATTGTACTAGTGGCAGAAGTCTCTGACTAGGCAAGAAAGACCAAAACCATCTGCATGAATAGATAGCACTCTGTGAATGTATTTTTGTGATTTCGACAAACTCAACCTTTTAAGGCTGCAGTCAGACTCTTAGGAATAATGTCCATGCATTTACCTGCATCAAAGCCAACATAAACATAGACCTGTCTGTGCATGCAGGGGTGTTTGGGGAGCATTTGAAGGTGCACAGACAGCTTGCAGGAAAATTATTTAGTCTAAAGTGTCTGCTGGATATGGAAGGACACGAAGGAGATCATGTCTGATGAAAGGACCGAGTTTAAAAGGAATAACAACGTGAATCATGTGCTGAGGGCCAAATCTCTGAGATGCACTGTATTGTTTGATGGGTTCCCTTACAGTGGAGGAGATGTATATCACAGTTGCATAGATATATTTAGCTTTTTGTGCATCCTGGAAACAA